TAACTAAATAAATGCATTTTGCAGATACATCAGAGGTTACACTCAAAAATGTTACCCGGACTTTTGATAGCACTGTCGTTGGTTGGTGTCGCAGAATCAAACGCCATTTGTGCGTGCTGTCTAGCTGCAACAATTTGTGCACCACCACCACCACCCTGTCCTCCACCGGTTGAATGTCCACCAGCACAATGTGTTTGTGCTCCACCACCACCACCACCACCACCACCACCATGTGTATGCCGAGTAAGCCTTTCAATTACAATATACTACACTGAGATGCTAAGCGTCTGTAGGCTATAGGATATTTCAAAACATATAAACTGTTATCCTATTCTGTAAGATAAACTTACCGGGACACAAGAAACGAAAATTGACTTTTTCGTACTTTTTTTATAGGATACGGTTTTTTACCACTGAATGAGTGAAACTGCTTATGCTCTGTGGTAAATAACTGCTCAAAAACAAACAATTGATCAATTTAAAAAAACTGTTTTTCTCATTTTAAGACCTGGGTCACCTGACAGGATAAAAGAATGTGTAATTTCTGATCAAGATTCATAATATTTAGCCTGTGTTACCGCCACCACCACCACCACCACCACCAATGGTTGAGTGTTGTGTCATGTGCGTAGATCCATGTGCCTATGGACGACGAAAGAAGCGTAGCATTTCAGATGGTGCAACACATTTGTTACCAGAATATGAAAACATTGATGACCCAATTTGCAATAATCCAAAGTTGAAGAAAATTATGGAAAATGTTTGTTTCTTTGTAATTACACATATTCCTTTTTTTATTATCATTATTATTTTCTTTTTTTGAACTAAATAAATTAGCAAACTAAATAGATTGGGCACTAGATTTATACTAAACAAATTTCAGAACATAGATAATGATGTAACAGAAGCAAGACGAAAGATTAAAGAAGATGGCGAGAATAAGCTTCATATGAAATTATCTGTCTTTTGTGGAACTGGACAGTTTTCATATTCAGCTTATACAGAAAGTCACTGCCAAGTTCGAAAAGGTGATATGACCTGTTATGCATTTAAGATGCCAATATAACCAAATCCAAATGACAATACAACAATTACCCAATTGAGTATATCTGACGGGTGTAAACGGGTTTAGTTATCATAAGTGTGTTAATAAATGTATTCAGTTGTCTTTTTGATGATGCATAATGCATATAATTGATTAATTTGTGAAAATCATTCAATAATAAAGTTTTTGTTCCTCTGTTATAGTTTTGTTGTAATAAAAACAGTAACAAATGATTGTTTTTAGAACATAAGCCTTGTATACAATTTATTTTAATACTGCTTCTTATAATTATTGTTTATTTAAACCTTTTTGTACGAAGTTAAAAAATAATAACAACAGACTTCTACTTTTTTTTTTCCTGCTGCTCTTTCTTCTTCTCTCTTCCAGTTTTAAAAGAATTTTTTATTGTTTTATAATGATACGTTAACAGTACGATCAGGAACCAAAAATTTTCAATATTTGCTGCAACAATAAATTTATCATTGTAAAGTACTTGTAAGCAAGTTAGTAACTGATCAGTTACATTTTGCTAATTAAGACGACCAACAGAGTTTATTGATATAGGTCAAAAAAAGTAGAAAATTAAGTATTAGATACACTTCAGTTTTGGTACTGTAGATTTGTTCGTCGAACAATTAACTGAAAAATAATTGAAACAAATTTAGCCTTATTTAAGGTTTAAAAAACTAAATGTCTTTTTTTTTCGGAGCGGTAATGGGAGGAGCGGGAATTAAAGAAAGAAGGAAATGAAGATGTATTTTGATGTTTTAGGTATTTTTTGACTGCGAAAAAGTTGAACGAATAAAAAATAAGGTTATTTTTAGCAGAGAAAAAGCTTAGGGAACATCATATCTGTTAGGTTATATTTCAAAGTTAGAACCGTATAACATAAAAGTGGTAAACTGTATATATTTTAAAAAACTAATGCAATTTACTAATTCAACAACAGGAAAATTCTGGTTTTGTTTTGGTGCAGTTAATTGTGCGTATAATGAGTTTGACGTCAGAGGTGTGTGAAAAATCGATGCAGTTGGTACTGCTAACTAAACTATTCGTACAACTGTATTGTAACGAAGTTTCACTGCCAGAGATTTGCTTTTTAAATAATTTATAAAAACTAATATTTTCTCAACAAATTATGTAATTCAAGCTTTTAAGCAGCAAAATTATTTATTTATACAGTTACCATTATAAAACCAGATTGATACAGTAATAAAGATCTGAACAACTGTAGCATAAAAATGAAGCGACTTTTCAATTATGAATATCGGGTTTACGGTAGCCTGGTTATCTGAATTATTAGCAGTACTATTATTATTCAACGACATTACATGGCTAATTTTTTGTCAATAAAGTTTTATTAAAAAAGCACACTGCTTAACATGCCTAAACACATGGGTTGCAACATAGACTAAACAAAGGGTATAAAAAGGAAGAAATCAGCAATTTGAAGCAAAGCACAAAACCATTTTCAAGGAGATAATTGAGTCATTAACAGTTAGAAAAATTATTTGCATGAACAACATAATTTCATACCGTATATAATCCATATTACGTTAAATTGAACAATTTTTCTAGGCTATTGTCTAAGAGTTTCTACAGATCTTTCTTTTCAGGTTTATTAGGTTGAAAGCACTGAGTAGCAAATTAGACGAATAGTAGCTGTAAAAATTTGCTGGGATTAAATCAAGTCTTTACCAAGCCACAGAAGAAGTTGTGCTTTTTTTTTGGGGGGGGGGGG